CGATTTGTCCAAGGTATTACCCCATAGGTGAGCTGGAGTTGCATTCGGCCCTTCCAGAACAGAAAATATGAGTTGTCTGGTCGTACATTGCCGTACTCTGAACCCAAGAATAATAAGCGGCAACCTCTTCTCTTGCTTGCCATTGCAAATACCTTGTGCGGAGGGAACCCGCTTGCGCTTGGCATCAGTGAGGAGAGGTTGGCGAGCAGGTCAGAGGCGGAATTAGAACTTCTGTCATTAATTAGGGTACCAGATTGAATTGGTCTAAGGTTTTACTAAATTTACTCAAGTACTTTTATTGCTTAGGATAAAGTTCTCAAGTTTTCTCCCCTCGGTAAGGAGATCTAAGGGTTGCATCAGATCATCATCCAGGTTGGTTAGCGCCGATTTTTCGCCTCTGGGCACGGGAACAAGCACAACTGTCGGTCGCGCACAGTCTTGACCATTGTACATACATGTTCACAAAGACTACCAAGGCAGTCATGTTGGTTTCGCAAGTTTAACCTGGTCATATTTACAAAATCACAAAGCCCTCAACGCCAAGCGCATAATGCCATGGCCGCTTTGTCTCGCATTCTGCCAGTTCTGCTCAAAACAAAGGGGCATCAGCCAACAGTCTAGCTAACCGTCTAGTGTGCCGTCAATCATCCAAGCCATTCAGCCTCAAACCCGTCCATCAGCCAAGCCGGCAACCCGATGCCGAGTCCACGTGGCGAGACCGAACGACAGATGCACTCACGTGGCTCAGCGCGTTTGGCAGGTCGCGTCTCGTCCACGCACGCCTTTGTACTCAACAACATCAGCATTCTGTCTTGCTTTCACCGGGCGACCCCAGGAGCTGCCACTTCTTTCGGTCTCCCGGTACAATTGACTCTAATAAGCTCTACCACAATAGTTCTCTGGTCACCTCACGGTTTAGCACAATGATAGCAGTACCAAGTCTTGAACCTCTTCAGCATCATTTCGCATCTCATTAAGCTTGAAGTGTGGAATCGAGAATGAAGGTTCAGGATAGCCTATGTCATCAATGGTGAAATGTCGCTAGTCTCAAGCTTGCGCTTGAAGTCGATAAAGTGTTAGGGCTGTTCATCGTCACTTGGTGCGACACGGTTAAGCGCTCCGCAGGGACAAGCTAATTACCCTAAACTTATCGTCAGGCTCCTTACTGAATTTCTCTAAAAGTCGTATGTAGGTCATTCGCGTTGATACTGTTTTTAAATTCACTAAATTTACTGGAGTTGGGCTTTCTTTCTGACATAGTTATCATCGTCGTTGACTTATGGCTTCGGAGCATTCCAAAGCAGAGATGGTGAGTTTTTTTTCTGAACTCCAAAGCTTCAGCCATGGGGCACAGCACGAAAAGGACCTAGCAACTAAATTCTAAGTAGTGAGAATATTTAGTAACTTTAATATTTATCTAATAGGCTTTGAATTACTTATTTTAGCACTTTAGCTTAGTATTAGATAGTTTCACACCTCTGAAGGAGAGTACTATAGCTCCACGTAGATGGAGTCTTAATGGCTACTTTCAATACATGCCTAGTAAATCAGGCACCAATAAAGTCAGGTGAGAAAATGTGTGTTCTTTTCAAGATGCCTGGCCATCGTAAGTATCCCATTTGACTTTTCTCTAGTATTAGTTCCTTGAATAATGTATATTGGCTGGTATTAAGATGGGACTGTTGATGCAGGCGGTGCTGTGCAGTTTCTCTCGCGCTCTACTGCACTTTTCGCAACGAATAACGTGAACAACTACGCCATCGGGAATGGCTAAGGATAATACAATCGCTACAACCTCCTCTCTACTGTGTGGGATTTGATAACGGCGGCTTAAAGTCAAAGGGTATCTAGTTGCTGTTTAGACCTTTGCCATATCTATGTTGGTAACATATATGCGAGGTAGGCCATCTTGGCCTTCTCTGTTTATTCCCACCTTGCCCCTCATAATCACTTTAGAGGATTGACTTAAACTGACTGAATGGAACTCATATAAAACATCTCTCTGTACTCGAGTTCTAGAGGAATGAGCAGAAGCCTGTCCGGGGTTGAACAATTACGAAAGCTCCACCTAAAGATCATCTAAGTCTTGCTTGCTAGAACATAAAAAGATGACCGTTCTGAGACATCTTTTTATGCGAAATATTGATCAAAGGGGGTTGGCCGCCGGTCCTGGGATTGCATAAGAGATATACCGAATTAGCCCATCATTCCTCACTAAGGCACTATGGAACTCCCAGTTGGCTTCTACTGGCAAAAGCTATTAAGGCAGCCTTCTGTAGTACATTTCTAGTTCACTGAAAGCCCTGCTTCGTTCCTCTATCGATTGAATACAGGAATATGGCGTGCAAACTGACGTGCAACTACCCGCCGGTCACCACCACGTACGTCCTTTGTCAGAGACTGCAGTAGGTCCACCATCAAAGTTGCTAGCTCTCACCTGCTGCGTTCGACCCAAGGATCGATGGAATAATTCTTGATTAATGTACTTTAAAACCAACTACTTAACCAGCCTTTTGGCCATTCGTAATGACAAAATACTTCTTAGTAAAGGGCCCCACGGAAGTCCATGTAACCTTCAAACCTGATGGGAGCGCAAAGATATCTCCGCCCTTGAAGCTATGTACCTTTCCACTCTCGTGCTCCTCAATCTTGATCTCACCCTCGAGGACTAGGATAGTCTCATCACCGAGAGGAGAGCTGTACTCAAAGCTAGTTGTTCCATCGGCAGTAGCACCTGGCAGCCCTCGGCCGCTTCGCCAGACGCCGACATTAAGGACACCTGTAGACCCAGTCTTCCGAACCAACCTCAGCTCGCCCGCCGTCTGGGAGCCTTTTCCTGGCTCTTCCCAGGTATATGGCTCCCAGTCATTAGGGTTATCGTGAATATTGCCGACAAACAGCTCGTCGCTCTTGGTACCCTCAATTGGGGCATCCCAAATAACCCAGAACTTTTTGAGGAAAGGCCCGTGGACATGCCACTTGAGATCGAGGTGCTTGGGGTGCGCTAGGATATCTCCAGCCTTGAAATGATATTTCTTGCCCGAAGCTGTAGCCAGTACATCTGCAGATCCCTCTAGCAGAACCATGGTCTCGTCGCCCAGGGGAGCCGAGTAGACAATATCGACAGTGCCATCATCGTTGCAGCCAGCAATGCCAGGGCCCGTCCGCCACAGACCAGCCGCCAGATTGCCACCAGTCGTACCTCCAGTGCGAATAGTTACGACTTCGCCCTTCGACTGAGCACCGTGAAGGGGGTCATCCCAGCTGAAGGGAGTCCATGTGCCGGTTGAGTTGCGAGAACCGTGCTCGAGCTCATGTACAGGGGCGGGGGCAGCCATGTTGAAGAACAGTTGAGAGAAGAGGATAGATGATAACTCGGATGAGTGTGTGTGATTGAGCTTTGACCTCGACGGCAAGTACGTCCTTTTAAAAAGTAGCTGGCAGAGGTTACTCGAGAAGAGGGGCGGTCAACTCCTCATTGTTTGCAAGGATGCCCCGTTCTCTTCATGCAGCTTGAGTCAGGACGGGGTTGCACCCGGGGGGGGCTTTATGTTGGTGTGACTAAGGCCAAGCATGTGCGGGAGACAGGGGTGGAGACTGCAACGGCAACCGCTCGCTCTCTTGAAGTCGACGGCTTGTAGATTAGGTCTGCTTACATGTCCGATACAGGCTGTATGAATCCCAGTCGTAACCAAGAGTGTTGGAATAACTATTTGAAATACCAAGCTGCCTTGCATTTTGTGCTATAACCCTACCGCCGTGAAGGAGCGATAGGTTTTTCTTATCATAAGCGTGATTTGCTATCCCATGCAGAAGTGATGGATGAAATGCATGTTGGTTCAAGGCTGGCATGGACCCTGGTCGGACACAATCCAGCAAGTAAGTACCAGTCTGAATGAGCTGAACGTGCAGGCAAGAAGGAGTAATTTGTCCAATAAAATTCTCAGAAGTGTTGTAGGCTAGCACGGCACGGGACGTTAATTAATTATTGGAGATAAGAGATATCATACGTATTATGCCCGGCACTAAGTATTAGAGACAAGAGAGAATACAATGGTGCTTATGGAGGACTCGTGAGATGAAAGTTTTAGAGCCAACAGCGGAACCGGGGTCTTGTCCGGGGTATGATACGAGATGGCGTTGGTTGTCATCCAATCGCAATACGTTGCATTGTTGCACTGATAAACTGGGTAACATTCTAGAGATACGAACATCAACCCGATAATTCAATCACCAACTGGTTGGTCCAACGATGGAGAGTCTACCTACCCCGAAAGTGTAATACTTGGCGACTGCTGTGATATTAGACCTGGAATGAGATACTAGCCCTATTTCAGAGTGAGGATCCAGAGTTTCTTCAAGGACCCCAGAACTGCGTGCAAGGCCCTGAGACCAATTCTCGTACAGCACAGTATGCATGATAACGGTTTGCAACAGGCGAGACAGCCGAAAACTCTATTTCGACATAAGCACTACTACGCTACGCGCGGCGCAATGGCTAGGACGCCAAATGCCGCTCTGCCAGCCCTGCACGCCCAAGGATACAGATCCTGCTTATCCACTCGCTGAGCGTGACTCGTTGGGATGGCCTTCCGGTACCGTTAGCTGCCGCTACGGGTGGTAGTGATCGTCGCTCAATCATGCAGTTATGCCTAACTAGTTGATATCCCGACAATCCCATTTTTAGATCAAACAGAGTGCCTCCATCGCAGACGAGTCTCCCCGCCCGCTGCTAGATCAGCCTGTGGCGTTTGAGTTCTTCTCTCTTGTCTCCCATCCCCCGGGTCCCGCGTCGAAACACGGTAATTGAAATGAAAGAGCAGAGGCGTTTCCGATGGATGCATAGGCCTGTGCCGATCTGCCCCTGAATCATATCCTTTAGTACTCGGTTCATGCACTCTATCTATATAACAATTAAAGAAACTTTTTTTTCGTAATTAGTTTCCTTTCCTCGTTCTTGTCTTCCATTCCCTTGGAGATCTTCGACGACTATCCCCGGCATGGCGCTTACGGTTCAGCCTCATGGGCTCGCCATGGTCCAGCTGGTGAGCTCCATCATCTTTGGCATCTTGAGCACGATTGTCATGTTTCTACGGGCCCAGATTAGATTTCGCGATAAGGTTTTCGGCATGGATGATGCACTCATGACTGCTGGATATGTAAGCACTCTTTCTGGCAATTGATCACGCGAGCGATGCTGCTGACACTCTTGGCGCTAGGTGCTGTTCTCATGTCTCGTCGGCATATCGTGTCAAGCTACCTATTATGGAATGGGTATCCACGATAATGAATTGTCCGAAGAGATAGTACCGCATGGCAGACAAGTAAGAGAAGACACTGGGCATCCCTGGTTTACTTAACATGTGACTGACAAGCCTTCATCTTTTTTAGTTCGTCTGGCTATTCCAGATCTTCTACTGCGCGGCCCTCGTTTTCATCAAAGCCTCGATTTGTTCCACTCTTCTGCGGATCGCTGTCGTGCCGATACATCGCATCATCGCTTGGGCCACATTAACTATGTCTATTTGCGCTGCCCTCATCGTTTTTATCAGCTTGTTTGTTCTTTGCACGCCACTACCAGCCACGTGGACAGGCCAGGGAACTTGCGCGTCACCATCGGCCCTGGCGATCTTGAGTTACTTTGTGTCGGCAGCATCCTTGGTCACGGACTTGGTATGCGCCATACTACCCGGCTTTATGCTCTATAAGACCCAAATGAAGACAGCAACGAAGATCTCCATTAGTCTGGTCCTTGGAATGGGTGCTCTGTATGTGAACCCCTTCATGTGTTTTAGCTTAACCTACCAGAAACTAATTACAAGCAGCGCATCCGTAGCTACGATCATACGAATGCCCTATATGAAGTTCTATTTCCATCCCGAAAAGGACTATCTATGTCAGTCCTCTTCTCCTCGCGCCTCGAAGCATACAACTAATACGGAATACAGACCGAGTCTGCAACGTCGCCTTATGGTGCTTGTTCGAAACGGGGATCGGTATCGTCGCTGGGTGTTTGCCGCCATTACGAAAGCTAGTCAAACGCTGGGTCAATTTCGACTCCTCACATGGTCACTCGTCGGGGGCCACGCCATATGCCAGCAGCAATGCACTTGGAGTCACTACCAAGGTAGGGGCATCAAGCCGCAAGCCAAAGATTTCGACGACTGGTGGTCTTTCTTCTGGGGGCGAGTGGGAGCGGCTTGACGATGATTCATCGAAGCGACGGATTCATGTCACCGTGGACATGGAGATGCATACCTTGGAACAGGGCGCCTCGTCCGTGGGATCGCAGGACTCCATTGAGGAGCTCGCTAGACCGATCAGATGACGAAGATTTTATATAGCACTATACTAATATTAATTATTCACTCCTGAAAACAAAAGAGTGAAAACTGCAATTTGGTGTAACTAATATGGTGGCTTTTGTCATGCTTATCGTCTAACAGAGACATGACAGAATACATCGCTAATTTCTCATCAAATAAGTTGGGGACTCATCGAATAATGCTGGGAAGAAGGATATGTTACTTGCTGCGGAACGGTTCAGTGGCCTTTAGTCTCGCATCATCTGAACGTCGCTCCAGAGTAAATTATCTTTTGTACATTAACTTAAGCTGAAGCTATTAGTGAGACTAATTTCTAGGCGAGGATTTAGCAGTTAGGTGCCTATTTCGTCTGGCTGCGCTGCTTCCATAATGATGCTTCCATAATGACGGATCGGTGTATCCCTGCATCAATGCACACAGTCGATACGTCGAGAAAAAGGAACAGGTCAAAATAATACCTCTTAGGATACATTTATCGCCGGCTCCCAAGTTCCAAGTAATGAAGCTGTCATCTGGATTGTACTGAAATATGATCAACTTTCCGCTCGGAGAGCACAATTGGTGGTTCTTGGATGTTGAGCAAGCCGGGATCGGAAAGTGATTCGCTTGATTCTTTGAGCAAGAATTCTTTAGCAGACTTGTGAATAAATACGACAATATTGCCTTTTATCGTCAGAAATGAACCACATTCCATTATAAGATCGGCAAATATGTCCTCATCGATGTCCAGGCTTGCCATAGCTATTAGCTCTGCAAAGGTGAGAGGACGGAAAGCCGTTGACGCAACGGCAAGAACCCTCATGTAAAGATCACAGCTGTCTGACTCGCGGATTTGGTCTATCATCTGCGCATAAAGCTTACTGAGATCTCGAGGAAGTTGAAGTAGTTGGTTGGGAATTTCCCAGGCTCGGCATCTCTCCAGTCGTTGACACACCGAAGCCACCCAGAGAAAGGTACCCTGTGCGCTCTGAGACAGGTGATCATAAAGTTCTTGCGATATCTGCTGTTTTAGTTTCTTTCTCTCTGCCAATTGGCGAGTTTTGTAACTTATGTAACTGTTCACAGCCTCAGAGACAGATGCCTCATGGGATTCCAAAGAGAGTGCAATCTTCGAGGGTGTTCGTCGAAAGATCTCATCAATTTCACAGCGGTTGCGGCTCGTTACAATCCACTTTGCGCATGAAGACGTACTTGTTATAAATGCCAGGAGTAGGGGAAGGTCTTCAACGCACTCATCCAGGGCATCTACGAGCAAGTATATCTCGCCGAGACTTGGATCATCTAGGATTTTGCGGAAGATGCCTTCCAATGATACTTTTAAGTTCCAGTGATCTTTATCATATCCGTGCTTATCGTCTAGATGCGCAACAAGAGGCGGATGTTGAATGACTAGTAGGTAAATAAGTCCTTTTAATATGGCAGTATAGTTGTTTAAACCAGGATTTGTGACTTGGCAGAAGAAGTAGGATATTGTGTTGCGATTGCGCGGGTTCTCTAGTCTCGTGGAATGCTGCAGTTCATTGATAAGGCCAGATAGTAGCATTGTCTTCCCTTTGCCAGGATCTCCTCTGATCCATAGAAGCCCACCCGCCTCGCCTTCATCGCGCCAAGAGATGTACTCTGGGCTCTCAAGAACCCATGTATACGAATCCTTCAACAAACCACCATTGGTCTGTTCGATCCTAGCTTTATCGTCGCGAGGATTGGTGGACCGCAGTGCGTCCAAGTACTTCTTGACTCCATCTTGCTCGAGATTTTGGTAATGATGATGGGTTACGTTGAAGCTATTGCCGACGTGTACTCTGGAAGAGCCAGTTGCATTCAGAGACTGCACAGTGCTGGAAGTTGGAATCTCCATTATAGGATCGGTGTTTCAAATGCCATTGTCGCTTAATGGAGAAAATCAAAGAGCTAGAGTTGGAGGAGGGGGAGAGAAGGGGTATCAAGCATATATCCAATCGCAAGAAAGATCTGGAGAGGTCCACAGTATTTTCCGTGGCTGAGACTGCGCCACTCATAATAGAACAAGCATCTGGACCTGAAAATCACTCACCAAAGAGGTCAGTTTCGTCAACTGATAACCGTATCCGGCGAGATCAACCATGACCGAGATATTCGGCACTGTAGCTGGTGCTATAAGCATTGCCGCCCTATTCAACAACTGCGTCGATTGTTTTAACTACGTCCAAATTGCCAGGCATTTCGGCGAAGACTTCTCACCCTACCAACTTCGGCTAGATGTCGCCAAATGCCGACTAGCAAGATGGGGAGCATCGATCGACATCAACAATGACCGACGATTTAGTTTCGTCGAACCAGCCGACCCAACAATTGTCCTGGCTCAAGGCATTCTCAAGGAAATAGTGGCCAGGTTCGAGGCCGCATACAATGTCTCCAGACGCTACGAGGCCAGGACGAAAGAGCAGGGTATGAGGATATTTACGGAAGCCGATCTCAGTCCTGTTTCGCAGCGCTTGCATACTCGTTTTGACCTGCTCACTAGACAGCGGTATAAGAGCTTGGGGTTGATTAAAAAGACAGGCTGGGCGCTTTATGATAAGAGCTATATGGGAAGAATGATTGATGATATTATTGCTTCAATCGAAGACTTGGAAAAGGTCTTTCCTAGCACCCCACAGATCACGCGTCAATTAGTCGATATGGAGATTGAGGAGGTAAATGACGAGCAGGAGTTGGAGCTAATTCACAATGTCGCTGAGGGTTTAGATCCTGTGTTATCTGGTGCCTCCAAGAATAAGATCGTGGAAATCGCCGGCAAAAACTCTGCTGGGAAGATCACTGGATCAGGTAAGGTCAATATTGGCAACTCATTTATAGCAGGGTCGTTCTCAAATTCACATGAGATTCGGGTTAGTACAGTCAACCATGTGGATGAGGTCAATACTACAGAGCCATCAAGAGTGAATATTGGTAATACCTGGGGCGGCAAGGGGTTTTGGGATTGAGAGATGGCTTGGGTAGAGGGCTTATTAGTCTTTTATTACGCTCAGGCGGAGTTTTCTTTTTATGAGACTCAAGATGTTCAAGCCGCTTTGCTAAATCTGAACCAAGAGCTTGTTGCGTATTGTTTATAGGTAGAGTGTATGTATAAAGAGCAATCGACATAAATAGTTATTTATTTTACTCTGGATTCATCGACCATAGCAGGTGCTTTAAGTCTTGTAGGTATATCTATCTTAATCTTATCTTAAACTCATCTTAGGCTTATCTTGGCTATCTTATCTTATCGAGCGATACGATAACGATAACGATAAGCCGCGGTTATCTTAAGAGACCTACCCTAGCTGCCTTGAATTCTATTATTAAGACAATAATAAGAAGCTGTAATCTTATTTACTTTATATAAATAACAGGCTTTATAATATTGGATTAAAGAATAAGTTATTAATAAGATATATATTAAACTTTAATAATTAATACTAATTTCATAATACATCAATGTGACACGTTATCCTTCAGTCATCATGGTCATCGTCGTTCAGATCATTAACACAATCACTTCTCCTGACATCCCAGGGATGTCCCACACCCCAAGAAGTCAGAACTCCCAAACCAATCATAAAACATCCGTCTCATGTAAGTCTCGCCCTCGACTGAAAAGAGGCCTTGCGCACTTCGCTCACTGAGCCTGGAGCTCGCCTTTCGCATCCATGACAATCTTGTCGAGGCTTTCCTCAAGTTGTTTGCTTTTATGACCAAGAGCTGCGTTTCTCATCGACAGGTCGTTGTTATGAGCTGCCAGGAAAAACTTACTGCTATCAAGGTCATTGACCTTTGCAGTTAGTTCTTCAAGGTGCTCCTTAACAACTTTTGTCGCCATCACAGATAGCTCATATCTCTCCCTGAGCTTCTCAGCCTGGGCGGCACAGCACTTGTTGTCGATCTTCTGAGCTTCAAGTTTCTTCACGAGGGCCTCATTCTTGCTCTCTAGAGTCTGCTTCTCTGCAATGAGGTTCTCCTCTTGGGTCTTGGTAGCTTCTCGCGAAAGTGCGTGTTTGTTGAGGTATTCCTGGACCATAGTGAGAAGCTCGGCGTCATCTGAATCTAGGTCCTTGAGCTCTGCAACAAGTTCCGCATTCTCAGTAACAAGATCATAGTTGCTCAACTCCAGCTTTTCGGTCTTCTTAACAAGTTCTTCGTTCTCAGTGACGAGGGTCTTGTTACATGACTCCAAGTCCTCGTTCTGCTTGGCCAGGGACTCATTCTTGCTGGTGGCTGCGACAAGTGATCTTTCAAGTTGACGAACCTCCCCGTGGAGCTTTACCTTGGCCTTCAAGTTGGACTCGTGGATGCTCTTTTTTGGGTCGAAAAGTGCTGTGTGGAAGAGGTCTGCCTTGCGCTGAATCAATTCTACGTCGCGCTACAACTTGAGATTTTCTCGGATGAAAGACTCCTTCTCTTGCTCGGATCTCCGCAGCTTCCGCTCGAGCTCATTTGTCTTCGCGACCCAGTACGCTTCTCTTTTGGCAGAATATGACAAGAACGACATATTCTCATAAGTCTCAGTGTCAGCCTCCGCGTTTTCAGCATCTGTCGGAGTATCTGTGGCTTGTGCTGGTGTTTCTACCACAGCAGGTGTATCGCTCAGTTTGGTAGGGTCAATATCTCGTCTCCAGCCACGAAGCACAATGGCTAGGGCACCATCATCTCCAACCCACTCTCGGGGAAACTCCAAATCTGAACGACGGCGGTGAGATGTCATTTCTATGACTGGGCTGAGGATTCGCACCATTTTGAGATCCTTATCAGATACACTGAGGCCTGGGATCGGAGGCCCTCGGGTCAAAAAATGTGCTAGGTGCTGAATCTGTCTGGCAACCTTGAGGATGTCAACGTTGGTCCCTGAGTTGGGCTTCTCAACAGAAGCTGTATCCATGATGAGATGTAGGTCAAACTCAGATGGCTTTGGCTCTTGTGGAAGGAAATCAGGGTCGTTGACAGTTGTCACAATGCGGTAGAGTGTTGTGTTGTGGAGGTTTGACATGGGTCCTATGTCAGCCGAAGTTGTCTATTTATATCGTCACTTTGCATGTTCAGAAACTATTGTTCCAGCCAGTGGCTAATTTAAGAAGCTGCCTATGAAACAGGAAGTAGCGTTTCCGCCATTCTCATATCTGCTGCCCAACTGGTACCGAACAAAAGGAAGCCATAATCCTGATATCCATTACCAGGCGTAAGGGAATGGTTACAGAGGCATGGTTTGCAAGTCGTTCTAGGTCTGGTAGTTTACTTAGTGACTTACATAACAACTTACAGATACTGTATAGTAATTAATACTCGACTCTCTGGTCAGAGGTAAGATTACGGTAACGAAGTTGATATGTCGGTATTGTCATACAGAGAGGCTCGGGTTGTCTTCGCTTTATATACTTTCCAACGTATCCACCGCTGCACGCCATTGGTGTATATCATCGAGGACAGGCTGTTAGTGTATCTTGGCTGAATGATTATAGAACATGCATAGTAGAACACACACGAAAGGAGATGCGTACGGCTAGAAGTTAGAACATAACCATCTCCTGCTCAGGGCGACAATTGCGCAGAAGAGTGGTAAACGAACAATCAGAAAATGTGGCCTTACCGCTTCCAGTTGTATTCCTCGCTACACTTGGTACACATTGTCAGTATAGAGCTCTAGCTACTGCAACAACTAGGCAGTCTTACAGATTTGATACATGAATGAGCTTTCTTTGCATGGTCCGTTCCTTTTCAGGCATATGGACCAAACTTCTATAGCTCTATTCACCAATTCTAATATTGTTCAGAGAAGTGACCGAGATTGATACAGAAATATAGTTGATCTTTGATTACTGAAAATGATACAATCTTCACAGAACACGAAGAGACTGAGTTAAGGAATCTGGAACATGAACATTTACGTAACATTCTGAACAGTCCATTGTCCTTACCGACACCGAACTGAAGCCTCTTCCGTTATAAATTCGTTCATGACCCCAGGACTAGGACTACGTCCCAGCTTCTCGCCACAACTCTAAGTGACGTGACTCTTGCCCTGATCACCCGAACAAGCAGCGGTCTGACTTCCTTTCTACGAAAACCTGAGATCATGGATTTTCATGAACTTGTGGCCAGTAGGGCGGAGCTAAAAGCTGCAATTCGAGAGATACAGGGAAAGGTCACACAACTTTGGCGCATCAACCACCAGCAAGAGGAGAAGATCAAAGATTTGGAGAAGCAAAATGAAGATCAAAATGCCAAATTTGAAGCCACGAAGCACAAGCTCACACGGACCGAAGCCACCATTCGGGCTCTTGAGGCAAAGGTTAAGCTCCAGAAAGCCCATATTGAAGATTTAAAGGAAGAGTCCCAACAGCAACAGGACGAGATCATGGCGCTGAAGAACCAGGAAAAGCGTGACGAGTCAAAGTATACCGCCAAGATCTCAGAGCTCAAGAAGGAGAACGCGGTTCAAGCAGCCAAGATCGCCGAGTTACAGAAGGCAAAGACATGCGAAGTCTCAGGCTTCAAAGCCAACTTTTCCTTCCTCCAGTCAAAACTTAGGCGTACTGAAGAGGAATACGAAAACAAGATCACAGAGCTGAATAGCAAAAATCTGGAGCAGAAGGTAAAAATGAGAGATTGCATCAAGGAGTTACAAAACCAGAAGGAAGATCAAGAAGCTGAGATTGAGGTTCTGAAGGATCATCTCAAGGACAAGGAGGATCTCAATGCCCAGCTGCTGGGCGCCTCGCAAACGAAAGACTCATCATGGGAAACTCAATCACAGCGCCTTGCCCTGCTAGAAACCCAGATCGAAACTCTAGAGGCTGACAAGCTGCGCCAAGAATCCAGAAGCCAAGAGCTTGAGACAAAGTATAGTGCTGAGACGTTCCGTCGTGAGAAGTTACAGCAGCAACTCAAGCTGAACCAATATGATGTTGACCAGGTACATGAGATAGCACAGAGTCTTGAGTTCCACTTCAACAGCACTTATGTCAGATTCTCCGGGGACAATAAGCTGCGTACAAAGGCGGAACTGGAGGAAGCGTATATGGAAGCGCAAAGACTGCAGGATAAGCGGAGAGCTTTGGCCCTGGCGAGACGGATGCGTATTCAGGAGGAGGAGGATCGCGGTAGCTGCGCTTACTCTGAGAAATGCTGAATTTGCAGACTATGTGGTTGGGATTGGCTGGTTGCAGATGCGTAAGTTATCTTTGGGTTATGATACGATTGAATGATGATGTAGCACATGTGTATGAATGAGTCGCGACTGCTCCTGGAGGGTAGCACGAAATGCACGAAATAACAAAATATGAGTATTATTCCTAACAGTCAGGTTTTCAGCTGTGAGAGGTGGCATGGTCATTGGATGCCGTGGGTAAATTCTAGTGATTGGCCACTTACAGCGTAATTATGCAGGCGCCCCTGTCCATGCCGCTTACGGGCCAACATCTGAATACGCTTGGTATTTTGGATACGCAAAATACTCGATACGCCTTGTAAAGCCGATACGCCATGAACATTCCACGAGAATTAGTTGTGCGATGAGATAATTGTTGTGCACGTATACAGCAGCCAATACTATTCTAGATAAATACACATGCGCGTCTCTTTCCAGAACAGTCCCTCAACCACCAGAACTAAACAGTCCCAACAGTATCAGGCCATTCTTTCGATCACATAGTCACCGAACACGCCCAAGTTATTCAGTATGCATTTCTCCCAGCTTCTCATCACCACAGCCCTCTTCACTCAAGGCACCCTGGCCGTTGGTATCAAGACCTACACTGGCCGTGACTGCACTGGCACGGAACAGACTCTCACTGTCGATCACAACGCAGCTTGCAATCCCAAAGTTCAGCGATTCCAATCTTACAAGGAGAACGGATTCGGACCGGGCAACGGGCAGAGAATTGCATTCTACGCCCAGCCGAGTTGCTCTCAGGAGTCCTTCATTTACGACACATACTCTAATAATGGAGATTATTTCCATTCTAAGCAGTGCTACAATATCAATGGCCATTCTCCTGTCAAGTACGCTCAGGGTGCTAAGCTCTACTAGCTGGGTATGTAGACACCTTCGGTTGAGCCGGCTGAATGCACACTCCTTCTGACTCGATCTTGTAGAATAGGCAGTTATCATCCCAGCAACCGACAGTACTAATAAGGCCAGTTACAGATGGAACAAGTTACCTGGGTCAAGCCAGGGTTCACCTAAGAAGGGCTTATTTTCATCATTCACAAAGGTACATAAAAGAAGAAGATGAACTATAAGGGAATAGAGCAATGAGAGAAATAGTTTCCTTGGACAAAGGCGCATTCATTTACAAAAATCTTCTAGGTGGATTTAGAGTAATTTGTTTTACTTGAGCCATTGTTGAGAAGTTTAGTATCTCTACTATATGCGAATTTCTTTTGTCGAGCGCAAATTGATGTCACCAACTGATTCCCGAAGACACTGAGTGAAGGAGCTTTTACTTTGCCAAGCAACTCATCATATGCCTTGAAACTTTATTCAGCCAAGCAGGAGATTACTTAAAACAGAAGTCTAGCCAGATTGAACTCTACACTACAGAGAACATAAGTCAGGTATCACAGCCTATCCTGTATTCAACAATATTCTTGTTGTCCCTCGTCCTTTTTTTTTTGACAATCGTCCTTGCGGACCTCACTTTGCAGGTTTTTTTTCATTATGCATTCCGTACCTTGGTACTTCGCCCTACTCCATCGCCAGTAATATAATCCCTAGGAACTTTGATTGTTGCGCCCTTGAATCATTTGCTCCACCTTATTATTTATTGCATTCTTCTTACCATCATTTCCCCCCACAATCGTAGTGAACTCTATCATAAATGGCGTGCGCTAAACTTAAACATAGTGCCCAACCTATGTCTTGGCAGTTATAGATCTAACACAACCCATCACCGCTCAAGAACTCATATGCATCAACGAATTGATCCATATCTCCAAGTTCGCCTTCGCTAGAGTAATCATATGGGGATAGCGATATGATAGAATCCCTTAGTTGACGGAATGATATCGTCAGCTCGTCCGTTTTGTCGTAGCGGCTTTCATAAACCTCGCTTGCTGTTAGGCCTTTGTCATTCCTGGCATCGACATCTAAGCCCTTGAGCTTAAGACAAGATAGTGTGTTGAAGGTTCTTTCGTTACCCCAATATGCCGCCACGTGTAAATAAGTCCCCCAGTCACCGGTTATACGGTGATCAGCGCCTAGCTCAAGAAGCGTTGCTTGCGCATCGGTAGCATTCTTTTGGATCGCTACACCAAGCGATGACAGTCCATTATCAGCTATTGCATTTACATTGGCACCTTGCTCATACAACAAGCGAATGGCAGAAACAGAGTTATCGCTCGCCGCATAGTGAATCGGGCGATTACCATTCGGGCCGATACAATCTGGCTGTGCGCCTTCTCGCAGCAACCTGTCTATCATTGTGACATTATCACGGATAGCAGCTGTATGTAAAAGACTCCATCCCGCGGGGAAACCGTCAATTGCATTGGCGCCAGCAGCAAACAGCAAGTCAAGTATGGTAGCACAAGTGTTTGAGGGTAGGTGGCCCGCATAATCTACAAGAGTACGATTATATGGTCCCTTCTTGTGGACTGAGGCGCCAGCTTGGATCAGAGCCTCCGCTGCTTTTGCGTCGCCTAAAGCAACAGCATACATGAGTGGAGTCATGCCAAACCGGTCTTTACTGTGGATCTGTGCCAAAATATCTGCTTTGCCGGACTTGAGAATAGGGCCTATGTCGATTGGACATCGTTTAACAACAACCTCATGTATGAAGCTCAAGTCAATGTCATCTAAACACTGAGAGATCTGAATCAGCCTTTGGAGCTCAGGCTGTAGCTTGAATGGTATGATTTTCTGGAGGTGCTGATTCGCGATTTTATGCCGAAAAGAAAGGCCATCCTCATTTGCTTGGTCTGGGTCTGCACCAGCTTGGAGAAGGACCTTCAATATTTGAAACACAAGTTCCCATGGAAGAAATGACTGAACAGAGACATGCAACGCCGAATTTCCCTCATAGTCGATATCCAATACGGCAGTCGGATTCTCAGACACGATTTGCTTCACAGCACCCAGATTTCCAGCTGAGACGTTGTAAAGTATGTTGTTTCTTGAGATTCTCATAGGGTTTATGTGTCTTAAGGCTAGAGTAAACGTGAGACAGCTGGTTGATAGCCTCTCCACCAGAATATGAATCGCGTACTTGAAAGACCAAAACGGAAAGCCATATCTAACTGCGAGCCGAGTTGGACGCGATTTGGAACATGAAGGCAAGTCGCAAGTCGCTCTGGACACGGGATAACTGCAGTACTCAACGATTACCGAACCCATGATCATTCGAAGTAATTTAGGGAGCGCTTTCCAAGGACGGTATGAAGATGCCGAAGCGTGACATCTGCAGGCACAGTTGATTGAGCATTGGGATTGCACTAGTTTTAGCTTGAATACTAGTGCGCAGTGCTGAAGTGGCGAGGATATGGCCTGGGAGCCCTGTGTTCCGTGAGGTTGATGGGCTGACACATTTGTGTTGTCCCTTGCTAGACCAGGACGTACAGTGTTTGTCTTCGTTGCCAACTGGTTGCTGATAGCTTCCACCCATTCTGTTGGCAACCTTGGCGTTGTGTTTTGTAAGGCCTCTAGAGCTGTGGCGATGTCCGACTGGTTTGTAAACGTGGTATCTCGATCAGTTGCGAGTTGGTCTTTTGTGTCTAGTAGAGAAGTTTCCAAGCTATGAGTCTTGGCATAGTGGCTGCGTTGCATAATCTGGATGTCCTGCAATATAAGTCCGATGCGAGTTAAGCTTGAGCTATATTTTCATGTTATTCTGAGATTGACTGCACGTTATTCGGAGAACCTACTTGCTGTATGCCAACTGTAACTCGCTAATACGAGACCGCACTTCTTTAAGCTGTTTTATGAGCTCTGCTGACTTCTCTTTCTTTTGAATCCACTTGACCCTTCGTAAGGTAGATGTCTCGTTCTTGAGACTGTCGATAAATGTGCCTAGCTCCTTCAGGACAGCCGCGCCTTTGTCGATTTCAGCCGTGAGGTCACCCAGTATCCCGGAGCTACCTGGACCGCCAAGTCCCGCAGTTGCTGTAGAGTGTATTGAGCTTTCAACATGAGCAAGAACCGTCCTGATAGCTTCTGTCTCATTTTCCAACGCTTGAACGAGATAAGGCGCGTTTCGGAATTGGAATTGGAGGTTGTGTAATGCATTAGATAGCTTCAACGCCAGGTCTAGCAGGCTAGCAACAGAAGCCACTAAGCCAATAGCTTCCGCCATGGCATTAACAGAGATGCTTGGGGGGAATAGAGGAGCAGGTGACAGGTTTTGTATTTGACAGGAATGTGCAAGTCCTACGAAACCCCGCGCTTATGTCACGTGAGACTGGCAATTCTGAAGCTCCTTGTGACCGCCGATGTGCTGCCAATTATCTGTCGAAGAACCAGTGCTCGAGTAGTTCTACCAAGGCCGAAATCGTCATCGAAAATGCAAATACCAAGCTTAAAAAAGATCCCCAAAGTAGAGAGCTTTAAAGGTACAATCACTGCATCAAACAAACTGGAGGAAGAGGTGTCAGGCCGTAGGGGCAAAGGCTCTAGCATCATCAGTCTACGGTGTTCGGATACTTTATGCTGCTTGAATTGTGTTTTCGATATTTCAATCTTTCTTTAATAGACCTAACTCCTAATATTTGTATCGCGCGCCTTATACGCAAAGTACACAAAGCTACAAGCTACCTCGCCTGCTGAGAAGAAGCCATGGGATGATGGCTTCTAAGAGATAGATCGAGCCATTGAGAGGACCTAGAATGCACAGATAAGCAGGACGGTCAAACCATGCCCGAAAGAATTGGATCTGTGCACTCGCCCCTTCACTTCGGTTTCTATTTATGTTCACATACAGATACAGTATCCCTATCTCCCTACCCCTATTAAAAAGCATTATTGCCTCGTCCGCATGAGTCTAAAGCCTTGGACATCTATCCTAAATAATGTAGAACTTTAAGTAAGCTTAGCATACTTTTAGAAATACTTCAATAAAATTCTATAAAATTTAGGATAAAGGCCCTAAGCTTTCTTGCACCCCTGACAGGGAACTCGCAACTGTGACCTCAATCGGTACTCTGAATTCGGTTTCACCAGCGTTAAAGCCCTCCAAAAAAGCCAATTTCAATTCTCAATACCCGCAAAAATGAGTCAACCAAACCCTGTCGTCTTGACTATTGTATCAACGACTATCGCTCGTATAGCGATGATGATCGCCCTCTTGAATTAGGGTTGAACAATTTATGCTAAGAGGTGAGATTGGAAAATTGCAGATGAAGAACGACGCCGAAAGGACAATGAGAATGCTGCTGCTGCTATGAGAGCAGTTGTCAGATAAGAGCATGAAGATTTGAAGAACCGCTTGAGCAAACTGTATCAAAGTCAATCCTCCGAAGAGCATAAGGCCCTAAAGGACGCCCACGATCGAATGACGATCGCGCGCCGCCTCCATGGCAAATAGTAAGGATTTCATGTCTATGTCTTTACGATGGTCTAATACATTTGTATTGTTAGCGGAAAGCTCAATGGCCTTGATAGCAAGTCACAACGTCGATGCGACACTGGCAAGTTCAAAGAAATCATCGACAGCGAAGCCCTCAAGTCTGGGAACGACTAGCTTGAGAAAGACTCTCACCAAGGCCGCCGACAAGCTCACTGAGGTAATCAAGAGTCTCACAGCGTCCTACAAGAGTCGAATCACTAGGCACGATAATCTGGACCCCGAAAAAAAGAGCTTGGGAATGTTATCCTAAATAATCTAAATTTAGTCCAAGGCTTTCTAAATATCAACTAAATTTACCTAAGCTTTTGCAGAACTTAGGAATCGCACCTCAGCCTTCCTGTCTCTTGCTGTTGATGAGATTAAGAGCTGTATATTGACACGATGGATCCAATACTTTTATCAACGAGGGAGTCCAATAGCTCTGACTTTGCCTCTGGCTCATCAGGACCACTCCAGTAACTCTCATCCATGGTAACCATTGTTTAGAACTTCAGGAGCTCACCCGTGGTCACGCAAGTTGGATCAGAACACCAGTTAATATACATGGTTTCTGGAACCCGAAAGTGACTGTAGCTCGCCGGGTCCAAATTGTGAGCCCAGCCCTGCGGTACAGGCCCCTCGGCATCATCCAGCATACTTATTGGACGTGACAAGTCCACACTGTCGGCTTCAAATCCCAACACGTAGCTAACTGTACAACCGTCAAGGCATCTGCAAAATCGCCCTGATATCCCTGAAAATGCCACCTCAGTCTCGCCGAAGAATCTAGCTTGTAGCAGACGGTCAGGAATTGCATTAAACGCAGGACAGAAAACCTGCGGATATGATCTGTACGCCTCTTTTGTCTTCGCTATGTATCATTCTATCAGAGGAGTATCATGACCTGAGTCATCGAGTGGTATAATCCAATCCACAAAGACGGTACGTTTAGAAAAGGCAAATTTCTCACATATCCCTGTGAAGCGGATAGCGATACCACGGCAAGGGCAGGTTTATTCCGTACAGTGTATCTATTGAGTCCCGACTGCATCTCGCCACGTCATAAGATCTTCCAAAGTGATCTTCAGATGGGGGCAGACGGTAACATGGCCCTGGTGGGCAATACAAAATCTAGAAGAGACGTTTGCCTATCGGGACGTCTTAGAGAATTGTACAGCGGGGTGTTCGGCTTCGCAACCTGAGCACCACAGGGGGCTCATCAGATTTGCAACACGCTCGTGATATCCTGGAGTATCTCTTGCATTTATACAATGGATGTAATAAGTGGTGCGAACAGGATCATCGGGAGGTTCTATATCGTTTTCGTCTCGATAGATGTAGACTGTTGTTAAATCGAGTCTAGTTGTATTTGTATTGGCCATATTTGTTGCGATAAAACCTTTGTCGTCCTCCTTCTAAACTGCTTTGGGAATTTGAGGGCGGAGCTGATCCCTTTGGAGATCTCAAGGCTTCCATAGCTGCTCTCTGGATCGACGGTACGGGTTATTTTCTAGAGGTTTGGAACACGCGAACCAGCTAAGGCAAATCCTCTGTTGGCGTGTTCTTTCGTGTGTGAACTTAATGGGGGTTTACATCATTCACGTTGGAGGGAATAAAACTGGTGGTGGGGGCGAGTTACAATTGTACTTTTCTCGACCAAGCTCACATATATAATCAGAGCTTAGATAATGCCCTCTTGTATCGTACTTTGGTGGCTTATTAGGGCTCACTTTTACTTCCAGATCTTAGAAAAAGGTTTAGCATACATACATGTCAAAGTTTAATACACAGATCCCCAACTTGCTAATATGAATAATACAATATGATACTTCACTCAGTCAAGTTCATTGGGACTGACGTTACCATTGACTTAAGTACAAGTAGCCTGAACAAAAAAAAGTGAAAATAAGACTGGTAACATAGAGCCGTGTCTGCTGCCCATATCACCCTCCCAAAGTAGTTCCTCACCAGAGCTCACAAACAGGCTCCTTCTTGGGACAGTTAAATGCCTTGTTGAACCCAACAGTATTCTTAAGAGGCAGCAGAACTCTTGCAGGTGCCGGGCTGTGCACGTCATCCTCCAGCAGTGTCAAACCTAACTCGGGCGGAACATTAGAGCACCAGGTCTGACCCCATTTGATGAAGAAGAGCTGCTCGTGGGTAAAGCCTTGCAAACCAGGGAGATTCTTCGCTTTACCCTTCTCGTCCTCCCACTTCTTCCAGGCCTCATAGCTGGAAGACACACCGCCAGCATCGGCGATGTTTTCATCAAGAGTGAGGGTTCCGTTGACATGGACATTCGTGCCATTGGGCGCCAGGATAGTGAAGTTATTGTACTGTTCAATGAAACACTTGGTCTTTTCTTCAAAGGCCTTGATCGACTTCTCATCCCACCACTGTGTCGCATTGCCAATACTGTCGAAGTTGCGGCCAGTGTTGTCAAAGCCGTGCGTGATCTCGTGTCCAACGACGCTTCCCATTCCACCATAAAGCAGATAAGACGGAAATTCTACGTCGTAGATAGGGAACTGCTGGAATCCTGCGAAGAGAACGATCTGGTTCAGAGTGCGGGCGTGGTAGGCGTTGGCGGTTAGAGTGCTCAAGACAAATTGGCCCCTGTTGTATGGCTTCCCCAAAGTCATCCAGTTATTTTTAACCTTGGACTTGGCAAAGCTCAGCGCAGTTAGGGCCAGAGAAGATTGAATCTCGACATCGGAATAATATTCCTTGAGGGCAATTGGGTCTACTGCATCAGGAAAGGTAGGAAGACCGATGATTTTCTTCATTGCCTCCACCTTCTCAATAGCCGCCTTCTTGACCTCATCTGATGCCCAATCCCGCGATTCTATGCGTTCTGAAAAGGAGTCCTTGATGTGTTGAACAAGATCAGATGTAAGTTCGTTAGCCTCAGGGCTGAAGTGCTTGTCCACGAAGAAGCGTGAGAGTATCCATGTCAAGCCCGTCGGGCCGATGAACTGCGATGTGATCTGGGAGCCTTGGGTCCACGCAACTCCGTAGTTCATTAAGTTAATGCAGCGTTTCCACCGGGGTAAAGGGCTCTCGGGATCTCTTTTCCTGATCTTAGTCACCAAATCGTTATACGCGTTCGTCAGATCGGCCTCGATGTAGATGGAGATAGAGGAAATGGCCTTCCATACAAAATATGCTTGAAGAATCGTACTCGGAGTCTCAGAGATAATCTGGGATGCATTGTTGAAATAGGCGGGTGCAATGAATTGGATGTCGCCTTTCCAGTTCTTTGGAGCAAGCTCCTCAATCACATACTCGTAGTTCAGCTCGGGAAATTGCTTCTGCGCCTCGGCAATCGAGACCAGGTCAGATGTTGGTCCGTTCTGTTCGGCATAGGTAGAAGCAGCCACTAGTTTGCCTTCTAACTCGATGACTGACGCGACTAGCTTGGCAGCTGTTGTCGTGCTGATATTAGAAGGGTGAACAGCGACTACAAGCTGAGACGCGATCTTGATGTACTCTTCGAGATCCTGCTCCGTAGCGGGGAGGACCACCTCATCAGGCTGTAGAGGAAAAAGGGTCAGCTGGACCGCGTCGGGGTCGGTTTCTTTCTGCTTGAGTATGAAGCGCTGGAACGTCTGAATGCCGACGCTCTCAAAGAAGGTCAAAGTCTTGCCCAGTGCAGCAGATCGCTTGGTTGTGTTTGCAGCTGTCTTGTTGCCGCCTGATGCGGGAGTAGTAGGGTACAGATCGACAACTGTCTTGACAATCTCCTGCAGAGT